ACCGGCTGAATGCGCGCGCAGCTTTTGCTGCGCGTGCGCATTCAGCCCAGGAGGAGGAACGGAGGAGGATCGGAGGAGGAGAGCTCCCCGTCCAGCGCTGGAAAAAGGTAAGTTTAACCCCTTTTCCCATTTCCAGAGCCGGGCGGGAGGGGGTCCCTGAGGGTGGGGGCACCCTCAGGGCACTATAGTGCCAGGAAAACGAGTATGTTTTCCTGGCACTATAGTGGTCCTTTAAGCCTATAAGCACAGCAGAAAAAATTCTTTAGTAAATTGCCAATTTGGCCTATAGTAGAGAAGTATTATGTTGTCTTCATATATCCCAAGCATATATCCAATAGTTGCCTGTGGAGTATGTTCTCCTAGCTGATGTGAAATAATTTACTTTAATTCCAAGGTTCAAGCTTCTAGGTGTCATATTAGATATCCTATATTAAAATTGGCTAACTTGGACTCAGGAAATGCTTAATGCTTAAAACAACACTTAAGACCATATATGTCTAGTTCCGGGAGCAGATAGCCCCCCACCTGAGCTGTGTCTTTAAAATCAGTCTGTTCCTTCTCTTTCTCGGAACCTATATGTTATATGTACATGACGTTCATCCCTATGTCTTATCTGTACTTCCTTCACCCTTTCACTCCCTACCTAGTATGTTTTTACTACCCTTAAGTTGCCTGTCATCTCAGCTCCAGCACATCTTCCAGATTACAGAAAGCCTTTTACACTGTTCTGTACTGAACAATCGGTTATGCTACATCTGTCCTTACACAGGACCATGGTGGTAAACGAAAACCAATAGCATACTACTCCACCAGATTGGACCCGGTTGCCAGGGGTGTCACCTCATGTGTTAGGGCAGTGGCAAGTGTTACTGCCCTCCTGGATAAAGCCACTGATATTGTCTTAGATAACCCAGTGACCATATACACACACCGCATGACATTAACAGCATACTGTCACAAGTTCAACCAAAACACACACATACTGAAAGGCATCTCAGAATGCAATGTGCCTTGCTTATGCCACCTAATGTTACACTGAAAAGGTGTATGGTGTTAAATCCATCTACATTGCTTCCCCTGGATTTAAAAGAGGGGAGTGGAGATGGTACTTGTATTTCTGATCTTCTTGTAAATTCACTTTCACCAGATGAGTTAGCTGAAGACCAGGTACCCCATCTTTGTGCAGCACTAATGTCACAAGCGACAGCAGGTTTTTCGCATGTAATTGATTCTACATTATCTAATGCAGATTTTGAGTTTTTTTGTAGATGGTTCCACATATGCTGATGATAAGGGAAATTTCCACACTGCATATGCTGTAGTTTCTGCACATGAGGTAATAAAAGCTGAACCACTCCCTCCTCACAGGAGGCTGAGCTGAAGGCTCTCACTGAAGCGTGCCAACTGGCCTCTGGTAAGACTGCTAATATTTACTCAGACTCTCGCTATGCCTTCGGTATAGTCCATGATTTTCAACCTACATGGCGGGCTCATGATTTTTTCACCTCAGCAGGTACTCCAATCAAGAACTCTGAAGTCATGAGTGCACTTATGGACGCTATCCTGCTACCCACTCAAGTAGTCATCTTCAAGGTGGCAGCTCACGTGAAGATCACAGATGAAACTACAAGAGGAAACCACAAAGCAGGCGAAGCCACCAAGCAAGCAGCAATGCAAGTACATCCTTCTACAGGTAATACCTTCCTGCAGGTTGTTTTTACAGATGATGCCATTGACTACAATATACTGCTGAACTTTCAAAGACAGGCAAGCAAGGGAGAACACGATGCAGAACCTGATGATGACAGAATGTGGAGGAAAGGTAAAAGACTGTGTCTGCCATGAGTGTTGTACCCCATGATGGCCCAGATGGTCCATGGACCTACACATCTATCCAAGATGCACATGAACTGCATAGTAAACACCCATTGGGTAGCATCCTGATTTACTGTTGTAGCAGCTAAACACACACAAGCTTGCATGATTTGGGCTTGAAACAATCCAGGATAGGCTGTCAAAACACCAAGTAAGCACACACCAAGGCCACTTTACCTGTTTAAAAGACTGCAGATAGACTATATACAAATGCCTAAGGTAGGAATGTATGAATATGCATTGGTCTGCATTGATCTCTTTTCGGGTTGGCCTGAGGCCTACCCAGTGTCGAAAGCCACAGCAAGTGGTTACAGCAAGTAAGCTTCTGAAGGATCTGGTATGTAGATACAGGGTACCTGAAGGGATTGAAAGTGACAGAGATAGCCATTTCACTGGGGAAATAATGCAAGAAATTATGAAAGCCTTAGGGATCAGCCAGGCCTTCCACACCTCTTATCACTCACAGTAGTGCGAAAGTAGAAAGGGCAAATGGCACCTTTAAGAACAAGATTGCAAAAGCCATGCAAGCCACAGGGAAGCCCTGGACTGAATGCCTTCCTCTAGCACTGAGATTCACCCCCAATTCCAGACATGGCCTATCCCCTTTTGAGATCCTGTTTGGATGTGCTCCAAATACAGGCCTCTACTTTCCCTAGACCCTCCAGATGCAGCATGGTAGTATGGCTGCCTATGTACAGGCCCCACACCAAAGATTAGGCAGGGTGCATAAACAAGTCTTTGATTCCATTCAAGATCAAGACTATTATTCTGCAACTCACAAACTGCAGCCTGAGGATTGGGTGGTGATAAAGAGGAATGTGAGGAAAGGACTTAAACCACGCTTTGACAGTGAAACCTCAGTGAAACTAGAAGGAAAAGCCACGTGGCTGTACACAAGTCACTCCGACTGATCCACCGACATGAAGCTGTTCTTATCCTTTACCATTGTATGCTTTGTTCAGATATGCTACTCTGACTTGAGACCAGAAGATAATAATGCATGACAGGGAAATATATGGATGCACATAGCAAAGGCTTTTAATTTAACCTCCTTTTGCCTCAACCCTCTCCTTAGTACTGAAAACGCCATACAATCTGGCCTTATAGCTGTCCCTACCCCATCTCACTTTTGAGGAAGTACCTACATACCCGTAGATCCCATGAATATCTACAACTACATTCTTATGCTTTCAACCCACTGGTAGGCAAGCCCCCTCCAGCCCTGAAGACAATTAATGTGACAACCGCTGAACTATGTTGGTCTTTCTCATGTAATTGTTCAAGAGACCCTAATACTAAATCCCTGTTTTGCCCCACATGGTGGAGAAATACAATGAATTGTAGAGTCCTGAGCACCACTATGAAATGTACCAAAACTCACCAAGTTATGAGTTATCACCACCATGTCTATCCCCCTAAAGGATGGACTTTCTCCTGTGGAAATATTACTTATGGTTATGTCCCAGGTAACATTACAGGAGGTCCCTGTGCAATCTCACGCCTAACCATGGCCATGTTTTCCAAATTTGACCTGATCTCTGAAACCACCCAGCTACACAAACCGCAGAGAGACAGCAGAGATGCCAAAAACACCCTTACTTCAGATTGTAACCCTGAAATCACTCTCTTATCTAAATCCGAATGCTCTGCCCTTAGCACTGTATAATACCTGAGTAATTAATGATGTAGCCTGTTCCCTTGCAAAGGGTTTAAATGCCACTTCACAGGCCCTAGAAGAGCTACTTATGGACACCCAGGCAAATAAGAAGGCAATCCTTGAGAATAAAGCAGCAATTGACTACTTACTAATAAAACATGACTTAGGCTGGGAAGCTATATGCTGTTTTAATCTATCTGACCACGGCACTATGATCCATAAACATATAAAAGATTTACATAACTTAATACAGGATATCAAACAGGATACTGGCTTCTTTGGGGATTGGGATTGAACATTTGGGCTAGGAACATGGTTGACTTTGCTAATTAAGAAAATGTTGTACTTTTTGCTATTAGCTGTATTTGTTATTATGGCCATTTTTCTATCCTTTAAGTTCTTCTCATAACCTCTCAATGTAAAGCAAATCTACTGTTGGTCGTACCTTAACTTACCTTATAGCTCCGACTTTGGAATTTTTTTACAATGAAGGAACTCTCCTCAGCTGATTCTGGTGGTCTCTCAGTCCAAGGGAACCGTGGTGAAGAAATAATGAAAGTCCCACAGGCTTTAGCTAGCAGGCCTGGAAATACCTTGGATATTTGGATGATCCTTGGATCTCAAAAGAGGGGATTGTAAAAGAATTTACTTTGATTCCAAGGTTCAAACTTATAGGTGTTATATTAAATATCCTATATTAAAGTTGGCTAACTTGTACTCAGGAAATGCTTAATGCTTAAAACGACACTTAAGACCATATATGTCTAGTTCTGGAAGCAGATAGCCCCCACCTGAGCTGTCTCTTCTAAATCAGTCTTTTCCTTCTCTTTCCCGGAACCAGGGCCGGATTGGGAATTAAAAGCAGCCCTGGAAAAAAAATATTTACCAGCCCCATAATGCGTCACGCCAGCATAGTGTGCAGATACAGTGGTGATCGCAGTGGTGAGAGTGAACTCTAGCCTGTAGCTCCAGGGCTAGAGTTCACTCTCATGAGAGCCGGAGCATTGCAGTGGTAACTCCCCCCAGTCACTCTGTATGTTTCTTTCTCCCCCTCACTGCTCCTCTGTGTAAATGTCTCCCCTCTCTTTCCCAGTCTCTCTCTCCCCCCTCTGCCTCTTTTTCCCCCTACCTTGTGTGTCTCTCTCATTTCTCCCTCTTTGTCTCTCCCTCCTCCACACCTCTCTTCCTCCCCACTTTCAATGTGTCTCTTCCTCCTCCACACCTCTCTTCCTCCCCACTTTCCCTGTGTCTCATCCTCCTCCACACCTCTCTTCCTCCCCCCTTTCCCTGTGTCTCTCCCACCTCCCTCCACCATCTCTCTATTCCCCTCTCTGTTTCATTCCCCATCCCCATTTTCCTAGAGAAGTCAGGGGGCCAGCCGCGTTCCAGGCTGGAGCCGCCGGGCCGGATGGGAGCCTTGCCGGTCCGGCGGCACTCCTGTCACTGATGATGCTGAGGGGGGAGGAGCATGTCTACCATGCTCCCTCACGGTTCCCACAATCCCCATGCTGTATCAGTATAATGCTGTGCTGGGGATTGTGGGAACTGCGAGGGAGCATGGTAGACATGCTCCTCCCCCCTCAGCATCATCAGTGACTCCCACCCGGCCCAGCGACTCCAGCCTGGAATGCGGCCGGCCCCCTCTGAGTGTGCCACCGGACCGGCCACCCGGTGGCACCTTTATGCGCAGTCCCCAGGTGCCACGGCCCACCTGGAAATTTCACGGTATCCCGGTGGACCAGTCCGGGCCTGCCCGGAACTTATATGTTATATGTACATGACTTTCATCCCTATGTCTTATCTGTACTCCCTTCACCTTTTCACTCCCTCTCTACTACTGTTCTATGAGTATTTGCACGTAAGCACTTACTTTTTAATGTATAAAAACACATACTGATAAAATAAACGAGAGAGGCTTATTTTGATAACCAACACGTGTCTGGTGTCTAATTCACACTTCTAAATGTGCACTTGAAACAATTTGGGTTCCCCTGAATATAACAAAGATCAAATTGGATCTATATAACTGATAATTCATAATCCATTGTATGGGAGATCTGCTTAAAGATCTCTTGCAAGGAAGGGAGCACTGTGAAGGCCTAAGCTGCCACAAGAATATTAAAAATTAAACATTTTACAGAATTAGGATATGATTAATGAAATACAAATAATAAAAGACATTCAGGGGTATTATGAATAGTAAATCCAGTATTTGAATAAATAAAAGAGATTACATCTAACCAGAATGAGTGGAGTTTGGAACATCCTCACCAAACGTAGCATAGTGCCTTTCTCCTGGAAACATCTGCAGCATTAATTTGTTTTAGTGAAACACAGAGGCCAGTCTCGTAGGGACCATATACCATCATTTGTGGATAATCTCTATGTGAGAAGCACAGAGAGTAAGGCCCTTGTATATACACAAATTGCCTATAGACAATTTACATATAAAGTGTCCCAACTATTTTTCCAGGCCTGGATATTTGTTAATGTGTTAATCTCTGTAGGTACTTGCAACAAATTATATATAGTGGCTATTGATTTTTTAGGAGGGATAAGACCCAAACAAGATTTTTCAAAGTTGGTCAGATGTTGCCCTTTTACAGAGGAGGTCATTGGTTTATTATGTCCACCAAGATTGAATCTGTATATAGGAAAACTCTGCAATAGATGGAAGGTTGTACACTTTTTTATAGTGAGAAAAATACATGAGAACACCTTAGTCATATAGAAGATATACGTGCATAATTCCACTCCTTACCCACACTCTGAAATTAACATCTGGAATTAGTGATGGGGCTGCTAATGAAATAGGGTTGTAATTACACTGGAGGTGTCTAAATGTATCCCAAAAGAGTGTGTCCTCTATGTTTGGCACTCTTATTTAATTAACCAGGTTAAGTGTGTTAAGTCTATTACAGCGGTTTAATAAGCTGTGAAAAAAAAAAACAAAACATTGTGGTATTTTAGGCTATTGTTATGGAAATATTACACTACTCTAGTGGGCCACTCTTTAATATGCAATAATGATTGGTAATCCAATTCTACACATTTATATCAACCTATATAATGTATGACTGACTAATCTTGGTCATCTTCTATTCTATATAAACTTATTAAAGGATATGTGTATAGAACGAAAAAAGGCAGCTGGGGCTTGGATAGTTAAAGTTTGGAAAATATATTGTAATTTGGGTAGTATAATAATTTTTATGGTCATTATGCGACCCCACAAGAATAAAATCTTGTGAAATCTGGTGTGACAGCAGCAAGAGTATTCCCTAATGATTTCTTCAATCTGATGTAATTTGATTGGTATACTTTTGCCAAAAATGTAAGATGGTCTGATCTCCAATCATAAGCATAGATTGTTTTTAAATGAAAAAGATAATCATCCTCCTTCTTCACTCCCACCGCCTGGATTTTAGTAAGGTTTAATTTGTAGTATGAACATTTGCATGGATAGCATACAGGAAGGCAGGGCCGGCGCTACCTGTAAGGCAACCTAGGCAGCCGCCTAGGGCGCACCTTAGCAGGGTGCGCCGGATCCCTGCAGCCGGATTTGAGTGATCAGCAGGAGGGAAGCGCAGAGCGCTCCCTCCCGCCGGTCTCTCAATGTAGTGTGGCCAGGCGGCGCAAAAGTAAGGACCGGGGGGGAGGGGGAGTAAGGACCAGAGGTGGAGGGGGAGTAAGGACCAGAGGAGGAGTAAGGACCACTGGGGGAGAAGGAGGGGGGAGTAAGAACCACTGAAGGAAGAGGAGGGGGAGTAAGGACCACAGGTGGAGGAGAGAGATGGGGCGAGTAAGGACCACAGGTGGAGGAGAGTGATGGGGGTAGTAAGGACCACTAGGGTAGGAGGGGGGGAGTAAGGACCACTGGGGGAGGAGGGGGGAGTAAGAACCACTGGTGAAGGGGGGTGAAGGAACACAGGGGGAGGGGTGATGGGGAGTAAGGACCACTGAGGGAGGAGGGGGGAGGTCCACTAAGGGGTTTGGGAGAGGGAGGACCACTAAGGGGGGAAAGGACCACTAAGGGGGGGGGAGAAAGAGGATAATGACCACTGGGGGGGAGATTACCTCTAAGGTTGTGGGGGGAGGAGGGGAATGTCTACTAAGGGGTTTGGGAGAGGGAGGGCCACTAAGGGGGAAGGGGGGAGTGAGAAGACCACCAAGGGGGAACTACAGGGGGCCAAGGGAGAGCACTAAGGGACAGAAGGGGAGAACACGGAGGGACAGGAGGGAAGGGGAAATCAATAATTGACAGGAGGGGAGAGCACTATGAAAAAAATAAAAAATAAAGAGTTGCTCCCCTCTCAGTCCCTATCCTACCCCACAAACCTTCTCTTTTACACTACACACATACACAATGCACCCCCCCACACACACACAGAAACATACAATGCATTCCTACTCACACACAGACACACCCGAAACACACAATGCATCCCTTACGTTCACACAAACACTCATTCTCTTACACACAGAAACAAAATGCATCTCTTACACAATCAATGCACCCCTTACAGACACACACCGCATTCAATTAAATACACAGAAACACACCTTGCACCCCTTACACACACACACACACACCCAGAAACATACAATGCATTCCTTACACGCAAACACACACTGCATCCCCTATAAACACACTACATCCCTTACAGAAATTGGTATCCCTATACACTACATTCTATAAGAACACACACATTGCATCCTCTACAATAACACATAAAACATCCCCTACACACATACACTCCACTTCCTGTGAGAGAACTCATGGGTGGGCCATGTAGGTGGATATATGGGTGGGCATTGTAGGCATACTCACGGTCAAGCCCTGGGGGCCCAGACCTTGAGCTGTGTAAGGGGCCCTAAAAAATGGAGCTGCTTCCTGTTCGTTAATTGTTGAGAGCCTCTTCTACACCAGACCTGTGGAGCCAGACTGAGCCCATCATCAGCCTCTTGTCCTCATCTGGTGGCAAGTAGGCAATCCAATATATTATTAGTGGCACTAATCTCTAATTTACCTCACATTAAATGGATACTATAGTCACCAGAAGCACTACAGCATAATGTAGTGGTTCTGGTGTCTACAGCCTGTGCCTGTAGGCTTTTTAATGTAAACACACTGTCTTTTCAGATAAAAGACACTTTGTGAAGACTGGCGTTGGCCCATATGGCAGAGCATATGGGCAGGGCATTGTGATGTCACATGGTGGGCAGGACATATGGGGGGGGCGGGACAAAAACATTTTTTGCCTAGGGCGGCAAAAATCATTGCACCGGCCCTGATTATACCACACTGTGTAAGCATCCTGAGAATTGTTGGAAAACATCAGTTCAAGCTTAGGACATGGCATATGCTTAGTAGAGAGATATAGGGAATGGGATGATGGTGTGGGTGCACACAAAGTAAATTAGTAATGGAACATCAAAAGGACAAAATGGTTAGTGTCCTGCTTAACGTGTTGTGTGGGACATGAGCTGACAACGGTGCATTTATTTCTCCAATTCAGTCACTCATGTAACCAATTTTCACAATGCAAATTTAAATTCTCCACAGTTCTTTTTCCAATAAATTTAATGTAAATACTATTTGCTAAATAGTATTCTGTGCTTAATGTTCTTTCTCCAATATGCTAGAATACCTTAAATCTCTGCACTTACCTTTTCCAGAAATTTACTTAAACTATCAGCATTATTCAATGCCATTATTT